GCGCTTACCATGGAAACCCAGGTGGCGTCCGTGGTCCGCTCCGCCTATTTTCATCTATGGCGGATTGCCCAGCTGCAGCCGTATCTTGATTGGGGGGGCCCTCACTACTCTAGTCCATGTGCTCGTAATCTCAAGATTAGACCATTGTAATGCACTCTACGTGGGGCTGCCTTTGAGGCTGTTGCGAAAACTTCAGATGGTCCAGAATGCAGCAGCCAGGCTTCTTAGTGGGATGAGAAAATATCAGCACATCTCCCCCACCCTGGCTGCACTGCACTGGTTACCTATCCGTTTCTGCATCGACTTCAAAGTATTAATGATTGCATATAAAGCCCTAAACGGTTTGGGACCTCAATATTTGGCAGATCGCCTCCTCCCGCCCAGATCTACCCGAATCACCCGACATAGCCAGCGGGGACGGCTGAGGGGCCTGACACCGAGAGAGGCCCGGAAGGAGAAAACTAGAAACCGGGCCTTCTCAGCGGTCACCCCTCGGCTGTGGAACACACTCCCCACTGAAATCCGGCTGGCACCCTCGCTGGGGGTTTTCAAAAGCCAATTAAAAACTTGGTTGTTTAAACAGGCCTACCCCCCAGTCAATTAAGTCATTTTCCTTTTTTTTTCTCTATCTTTTTTCTTTCTTTTGTATACCACCATCTTGGAAACCTTTTGTTTAGAACTAATTAGTATAAATGCATTTTATATGTTTTTTAACTTGTTTTAACTGATGTAAGCCGCCCCAAGTAGACGTTGTCTAGAGGGGCGGGGTAAAAATCGAATAAATAAATAAAATAAATAAATAAATAAAAGGGAACATGAATGTTTATGGCAATGTAGATACAAGATGATGTTATTGTTCAAAAAAACAATATCTATGGAAGGAATGAAGCTTCTTAAATACCAGTGTGAGATAAAATTATTTCCTGATGCTAACGAGACATTAAGCAAACAACAGGTTTAGCCCACAGTGATGGAAATACCAGAAATCTCATGGTGGGTTTTAGCATATCTGCTGGATTTGTTTCTTTGCAAAGTACTGAAACAAGATAAAGATTCTTAAAGAAAAACTGTGGCATATGATTTTAGAGATCTACTTTCATTACCATGGACACAATATGCAGTTACGAAAAAGAAACAACAAAATAAACTTGTCAGTTACATTGTACCACAACTGACAAATTATATAAGGTGTTTTACAAAGCATAAACATCCAGAGCTTTTATGTACAACTTTAAGCCACTGTTACAATTTTATAAATATAAACTTTATTTCCAAATCCCCATTTTCACTTCACATTTTTGTAACAAAAGAGAAAACATAAACTTTCAGGTAGTTTGATTATTTTAGGCTACAATCCTATATATTCTTAGTCTCAGTGACTCAAATGTCTCATTCCCTGCAGACATAAACAGGAATGCACTTTTATCAACATGAACAACGCAGCACAACAAACAAACAACAAGTTGGGTCCTTGTTCAGAGAAGAAATAAATATCCATACAATATATGTATTATCCTTGATTAACAGCTCCTATATAAACGTGGCTAGGTGCAAAGGAGGGCAGCAGGGATCCAGCTCCTTTTAACGTGCACTGCAGAAGAGGAAAACGCAGTAGGGCGGCTCTCCTCTCTCTGACAAATAATAATAAAAACTGCGTGCCAAATCCAGTCAATCCTCACTTCTTTGCTAGGTGAAAAAGAATTCGGAAGTGGTTTGCCATTCTCTTCTTCTATAGGGGTATCCTGGGAGGGTGCAGCTTGCCCAAGGCCACCCAGGCTCACTCCCCTGGCATGGCACACTGGGGGAACTGAACCCCCAGCCTCCGGCTCGGAGCTGCCCAGCCCGCCCCCCCCATGGCAGGCAGTCCCTGCTTAAACGCCCTCTTCTGCACAAAAAGCACAACGGAAGAACCCTTTACGAGAGAGCGCTCCTGAGCAGGTTAAGGCAGCAGACCGGCTCCCACCGACGGCCCGTGAGGCATATTCCCCTGGAAAGAGTCTTTAGGGTTTGAAAATGTGGGGTGGGGGTTGAGCCCCCCCTGGGAAATAGGGGACCCTCCCCCCAATCTTCAGCCTAACGCCCGCCGCCCTGGGCGTGCTGGGCGAAAGAGGCTTTGCACAAAAACCACCCCACCCAGGGGGGCGGCGGCGGCGGCGAACTTTGGAAGGGGAGCCGCTGCCCGGCCTTTCCCACAGAAATGGCTTAATTCTCAGGCGGAGAAGCCCCACCTCTCCGGGCGCCCGGCTTCCACCTCGTACGGCGAGGGGGAAAGCGGCTCTCACAACGACCTACCCCAAATGAAGACGCGCGTCGGTTCCCGCCCGGTCGCCTGAGCGGGTGTGTGTGTGTGTGGATGGGGCGACGGCCCTGCCTTCTCCTCCTCCTCAGAGGCCACCACCACAGGCTCCTGCTTTGGCCGTCCGGGGCTTCCCCATCCTTCCTGTTCAAAGACCCGGCCGCTCTCTTGCTTCGAAAGCGGCTCCCTGCATTTCCCGGCGAAGGAAAGGGAGGCGGCGCAAGAGAACAAACCGGCAACCACACGGAGGCCGCCGAGCCGCTTCCGGAGTCGCTGCCTGGCAACCGGGGGACGCCGCACCCACGAGACCCGGGAGGAGGAGAAGAGAAGAAGAAAAAACTAGGCCCGAAGGAACGCTACCCGGTTTTGCGAGGCCTATTTCTTCCCCTCCCCTGAAGACTTCAGCTACGATACCTTGGCTTGGGGGACTGCGGCCGCGTTTTGAATTTCCAAGGGAAAAAAATAAGCTAGAATTTCTGAAAAGAGTGGTCTTATAGACCAGATGGGCGGGGTACAAATCAATCAATCAATCAATCAAATAAATAAAATATTAAGGCGTCGTGTTGTGACTTGTGATTAATTTGAGCAAATGGGTTCTTTTGTAAATAAATAAATAAATAAATAAAATCTTAAGGTGTTGTGTTGTGACTTGAGATTAATTTGAGCAAATGGGTTCTTTTCCGGGACCAGAAGCGGGGGAGGGGGGGAGGACATGCGGGTGTTTATCGGTTTGGTTGTGTTTTTCAAATCGTTGGTATCTTTTATTGCCGTTTTGTTGGCTTTTATTTGACTGCAGTTGCTGATAGGTCTTTTGAGCATCATACAGTATAGTGGAAAGACGGTATGGATTTGACAACAAAACTACTAACGGATGTGTTAAGTGTTTCTGATTATGACATTTTGCTCATTTTGTGCATGAGAAATCCATTCCTACATCAGGCCAACAGTTTTCCCTTTGCAAAGATTCCAGAAATCAGCAAGGTTTCACTAGTGCATTAGAAACTTGCCTGTGGTCCATCTAGGAAGCACAGTTTATCACTAAGAAGAAAGTCTCATTCAGTCCTGTGGGACTACTTTTTAGCTTCCATTTTCGTGGTCATATCTCATATCTTTTCCTATTATACAGTACTGTGCTCTTTCTGCCTGCTTAGACTGTAAACTCCTAAAAGCTGGGGCTTTCTTATCCTGCTGTGTAAAACAGTGTTTCCTGGTGTGCTATATAAATAATAAGTAAAGCAATACTGTAATAAAATAATCATGTGCTGTCAAGTAACTTCTGAGTTATGGTGACCTTTGTCAGGGTTTTCCAAGCAGGCGATACTCAGAGGTGGTTCAATGGGCACAAAATTTAGTATACAATTTTGAGAAGGACGTTGTATAGATTAGGAGCGTAATGTGTATGGTAGTTGTTTTAACAAATGAATATAAGCTGTACTCAGGTGGCACGATGTTAAATCAACATGGATGGATCTTATATAATAAAAAAAAATTAAAACAGAAGGAAGTGGTTTATCATTTCCTTCTTAACGGGGGTGGGGGGGTGGTGGGACTATGTAGAGCCTGGGGCTGGCTCTACTTGCAGGAGGCAAGTGGGGAATCTAATTCCCAGCCTCTGGCTCTGCAGCCAGATACCTAAACCACAGAGCCAACACTGTTAACATCTATTTTGAATATACACCGTAAAAATGCAGATGAGAAGTCAACCAGTATTTTACCCTCCTTAAAACAGAAAATTGCTGTGAATATGCACACCAGCTTTCATTCCAGTATATTTGCCTTCAGGGAATTTATCACAATGGCCAGAATCTTACTGAGTCTTACTCTTAGACAAGTGAAATTGCATAAATTGTGGCTGAGAAGTACAGGTAATTAAGGTGCCAGTCATGTGCCAGGTCATATGCCAGGCACACCATGTTCGTTAGTTGCAGTTTGCTGCAACAGTTTATGGAATTTCACTTCCTCAAGAGTAAAATATCAGAAGTATTCTGGTAAATGTGTTTTGTTTTTATGGCTTCCTTGGAAATTGGTTCTTTCCTTGGACAACATTTTTCAATCTATTATCTTCGACATCTAGGGATATACAGCATTGCATTACATTTCACATCTTTCTTACCTTTGTATTTGCGAAGGCTTTCACGGCCGGTATCTAATGGTTGTTGTGGGTTTTTTGGGCTTCTTGGCCGTTCCTCTGAAGATGCCGGCCACAGAGACTGGCGAAACGTTAGGAAAAACCACCTTCAGAACACGGCCAAGAAGCCCAAAAAACCCACAACAACCATTTCTTACCTTTATTTGTGGAGATTGAAGAATTTATCTATAAAGCATAGTAATATGTGTCAGCTGCTGCCTAATATTTCTAAAACAAGTAAAATCTCAAATCTTGCTGCTTACAGATGTATAAAGACTTAAAAACTTGTCGCTTATGCTCAGGTATTTTCTGCATTGATTCACAAGCTCTGCTCTTCCATTGCTTCTCCTATACAGACAATTTGTACCATTTCCAGCTGTGTAACATGAACAAATTCAGCTGGTAAAACTTTTACAGGACAACACAGTGTTGAGTAATTTTGCACTGTTGCAAAATTTCCTGCCAATCATGGTGCTGTTATGGGTATGGTTATTGCTTTTGGGAAACAAAGTGCCCAGCTTTAACACATTTTGAAAACATTTCTTGTGGTTAAGATCTGGTATACTGATACAAATTACATCTTGTAAGTTCACTTCATCAAAAATAAGTCTTTTTGTTATAAATACAATTTTAAATACAGTTGTTTCTAAACCTTTCTTGAGCTCCCCCAAAAAGTATAAGACATGCATTTTTTAAAAAAGCATAAAATGTTATTTAAATTATACTTAGGCAATATAATTATTTTACTATTCTTTCTCAGGTGTACTGTGGCTTTTTATATATTAACAATATATGTTCTGCACCACAATCAGCTGCTGTTTTTGTTGTGGCAGAGAAAACACAGCTTCTCCCTCTCCTGCTTCCAATTATATAGTGTACTTGATTTCTGTGATGGTCATCTAATGTGTCTCTGAGTGCGGGTCAATGTCTCTGCTTCACGCACATCATGTTTAGGCATGGCAAACACCAAGAAAACATTTTTGTAACAGAGTTGCCTTATAAAGTATAAATAATTGAGAATCTGATACAGACTCTGAATTTGAGTTGCCCAGTATTTGCTGAGAGTACTACTAAATCTAATCTCCAGCTTTTATGATATGGGGTTGACATGCTTTTGAGTGCTTCTGCTCCAAGCCAAAGCAGGAGCCATATTCTTTGCTAAAGAGCAATGAACAATTCATTCTTTTTGTTTATAAAGATGGAGAAAGGCATTGATTCTTCATCTCCATAGATGAAAACTAATACTGCCAGCACAAATTAAAATTATTCTTTAAGTTTGCAGTCTCCATCCCAGAACTTTAGTTTAGCTACATATCCTATAAGTACTGGACTTGAAATCCCACCTTTTATTACCCATGACTGTTGTAAACTCCCCCATTATCAAACTTTTAAAATTTAGGGGGGAAAACACTGGGAGAAGGGGACAATTCCTGCTCTCCAATATGCCTCCCTTTTTCATGGTACTGCTTTGGTGTGTCCATTTCATCTTCTGCCATTGTCAGACTAAGAGAGGGGGGAAAGAAAGGCACAAAGGCAAGGGCACGTGCTTCCTGTTGTGTGATAAGTAGCTGATGGAAATTCCTGAATGTGGTCTCTCAGGTGCATCCATTGGGAATTTTTTATGCTGCAGCTTTCCCCCTTCTCTCTTACATGCCATTGACTTGTATGCTGTTAGCAGCAGCATAAATAATGATGCAAATAATGGGAGTCATGCACAGGTACAGTTGTTTTTGGACAATCAGCGTATCTCTTCTTCTTTAACCTCTCTAGCTTTGTTCCAGTGGTCTTTGCAGAGCTGATACAGCTCTGTGGATTGGAGAAACTAGCTGCAGAACCATGGGACAGGAGTTCAAATCTGTACAGTGTGCCCTTGGAGATGGAGCAGTTGACATTAGATGGTAGCAGAGTAGCGCAGCGGAAGCGTGCTGGGCCCATAACCCAGAGGTCAATGGATCGAAACCATCCTCTGCTACTGGGAGGAAGAGGGATGGCAAGTCCCAATGTTTATCCTGTTGCTGAATGTGGCAAGGTGTTTTTTTTCTCTTCTTTCTCACTTGCTTTGTCTTTCTCTGTTTCCTTATCATTGTTAGGACCTGGCACTAAAACTTTATACTTGCAGGTCGTGGGGGGGGGGTACATAATCCATAGAACCATACAGGATGTTGTTGATCTCAGAGGGACTAACTTTAAGTTTCCTTTGTATTTTTTTTTTCTCGGCCCAGGCTGCTACTGAAGCAAAACAGTCTACATATTTCAGATGACCAGGTCTCTGAGTGCAGGTTTGGAAAAATTTATCTTTCGGCCATGCAGGAATTGGCTAAAGGCCATACTTTCGTGCATAATTTAAATGCTGCACCTCTTTTTGAACCCAGATATCCTGCCCAGTAGGCTTTTCCAATTATCTTTCACATGAATCAGCGTCGTCCCGCACTATCATCGTGCCCCTATTGCAGGCGCCCCTCCTGGCGGCTCAGTAGGTTTTAACGCTTTGCTTTGCTTGGCCAAGCCTATTTTTCCTTTTCCTCACCTGAGGACCCAGGAGCAGTCTCGCTTCACTCCCTCTGTTCAAACATTTAGCTCACGTGCGCACATCCAATCACGCCCTGTCCTTCTGTGCACTTGCTTTCACCCCAAGAACATAGGTGCCCAAACCTAGTTCAGGGATGGGGCGTCTTCACGGAGGGGAGCAGCTGTCACAATCACACTTTTCCCGGGTCCTTAGGAGTTCCATGAAATGCATTCCATGAAACTCCCTGGGAGCCCACAGACTCCCCTTCGGAAAACTTCAATGGAGCTTCCTGGGTTAACGAGAAGTGCTCAGAAATCACCCTTCTGACACTCACCATGGAAAACAACTAGTGGGCCCCCATCAGAGATCTGGGTATTCAATAATCTGTTTTCCCCCGTTGTGAACTCAATGTCACCGGAGATTGCCCACATTCTCCACCAGATGTTAGCACCCAATTTTAGGTTTCAATTCTCTGGCAGGGAATAACAGATAAAGACAGTGCATCAATCAGTCTATGTAAGCCAATTTATTAAACATATAACTGAGCCCCGTCCCTAAAAAGGCAGATTGGGAGCCTCATCATACATGTGGTAAAGCATTTTCTAAGTTTCTTACAAAGGACAATAAAGCACAGCATCCCCATATTGGTCTCCTGAACCCTATGGGTGCCTGTTGGGTCATCCTATTGGCCGTGGTAGATGTGAGAAAAATATCCAAATTGCACCCCAGGGTTAGTGGCTGCCAAGTTTGTGAATTTGTGTGACCCATTGTGTAGCTTATCTTTAAATATGTTAATGACAGATTATGAGCCATCTATGGTACAGTCTTTGCCTGAAGCGCTGCAGAGTTGGCCTTGAATTGGGGGGTGG